TAGTATATGGCTACTAGTTTTATTTCTGTATATCCATTATGATGTGACTGTCCTCATTTTTCTCTTTGATTCTGTCTTCATCAGTCATTTGTGGAGAAGCAACATTTCTTTGAAAAGTACGAGGCATTGTTCCAGTCCCTGAAACAGTCTGCGGAGGCCTACGTCAATGCCGACAGCTCAGGTGAGATGTCAAAATGGGCACAGTGAATGTATGATTTGATATGTAAAAATAACCATAATTAAAGGACCAGTTTGTAGGACTCGGTGGCATCTAGCGGTGAAGTTGCTGATTGCAACCATTTACTATTTACTGTATAAACATGGCTGTTCAACATGGTGGCATCCTTGGAGGAGGACCTGCTCCCTCTGTACATAAAAACAGTTCATTTTAGTTCACTTCAATCTTTATTGTCCCTTCAGGGAAAAAAATGATTTACAGTAGAAGGCCAAGGGGACATGGGACATTATCATGCTCATGCTGAGGTAACGAAATGCAATGATGCAGATTTTCAAGCGATTATACACTAATGAAAACATACTTATGCATATATTCTGTTTCTGCCATTCTGGGGACCTTTTAAAGGTTAATTATTTAATATACAGAATAAACCTTCTTTGATCAGGTGCATGCAGTTTTTATATGTACATATGTTTTTGATTAACAGCTAAATGTCTCAATTCAGACTTTACTGACAACCATTAAATAATGGCATTTAGAAGTGGCTGATGGTGATAAATGGTCCAAGTAATTTTATATTATATAGCTATATTGTGACGTGGTTATTTTTCTGGTGAATAAATTGAATAAACGAGCTTGAAGGTTCACTCTTGATGCAGCAGAAAGGAACAACCGAATACCCTTTTATTCATTTTATTCATAAATTAACCTGACAGAAATGTCTGTTTTTGGCTGTTCCAGTAAATTAAATATTTGACAAATTAAGTACTTAATGCCAAAATCACATAAAAATCCATATTGCAATAAAGCATTCCTGCTCAGTCATCATTGCCAATGCCCACAATGGTCTAATAAAGCCAAAGAAATTAAAGGGATACATATCTTGGTATAAATGGTTTGACACAATCTCTATTCATACATTTTTATCATCCCACATATCGCTCAAACCTAATTGTATTATAATCCTTTAGATGTTGCCTTTATCTCAAATTGAGTGACACTAAACATATATTATTTTTTATTATAATATTTATTATAACTTTATTCATCCCTCCATAACCAAAGAGGTTTCTCTTGCAGCATCTCAGTGTGCCCCTGTCTGATTTTAGAGCTCGGTAGAAGGGGAGAGTCTGCAGGCTACTGCTAAATGAGGTTCCTCCATTCCCAGCTCTCAGTGGGGAATACGACCCCATTTGCTAGTTAGGGGCTGCTCCACTTCTGCAGGTCTCTGGGCGCAAACTGAGCTAGCTTGTTGGTTTCATTAAGTTTCAGGGTTGTGCTGCTTTAGGGTATGCAGAGCAGAGAACTGAGGTGTGGCAAGAAATCAGGACATTTGAAGCTTGATTGGTCGACCCCACAAAATGAAGTGCCCCCCCATCTCCATCGTACCCGCATGAGTCTCGCTGGTAGTTAGCACCCTCGGCTCCGATTGGCTGGATGAGAGATCATTTGGATCTTTTTTAAGCCCCAGTTTGAGGTTATAGCAAATTGAAGAAGGAGAGGAGGATAAGGGGGATTGACATGTCATTATCTATTATATATATATATATATATATAGTAAGGCACAGTACTATCTGATGAATGTGTATTTGAAACTGGATATGTGTGATTGGTGGAGTTATTTATCAGCCCCGAACTGGCTGACAATAGTTTGTGGTTCAGGACTGATGAGACCAGACCAGCTTTTACAAATAAAATGGAGCACTCAGGGACATCTATTGCATCTCCCTGTAGTGAGAGTTTTTGAGGTCAGAGATTTGTCTGCAATGGCATGTGGCTCCATCAGCCTGTGTGTGCTCTTTGTCTGGTGCTTCTATGAATATGTGTACCATATGTCCTATGGATGGAAGCGAGGCTATGTAACGTTTGCTAAATAGTGGCCACAATTATATAACAGTATATGTAAATGCTAAAATGTAGTCTAAGAATGACACGAGTAGACAATCCACAAGTCCTCAATCTGACTCAATAATAACATTAACATTAGCTAATATTAGCCACCACGAGCCATTTGTCATACCAGACCAATTAATGCTGTATTGAATTGAGCATTAGTGTGTTTTATTGCTCATAGATTCAACGCTTGATTTGATAAACAAAGATTTTGTTGTTTCACGACCACCATAGTTTCACCTTCACTCTTGGAAGCCTGAACTGTATTCACATGATTACAATGGGCAACTTCACCGCTAGATGCCACTAAATCCTCCACACTGGTCTTTTAAAACCACAGACAAAATCTAAATATCAGCAAGCAATTCAGGCAATTGTTTTAATATTAAAGATTAGTATGTTTATGACGTCTCCCGTTTACACTGTTCTAGTTTGACTAGTACTGTTAGCAGCAACCACAGCAATAGTAATAATGTTCTGGTAGTAGAAGTATCACTGTTGCTGTAATTGTTGTTGTTGTTAAAGTTGATGTATCTCCCCTGCAGTGGATGAAGGTGAGATGGGAGTGCGAAGGTTCATGCGGGAGGTGGTGACCCAGTGGAGGAGTCTGTCAATGGAAGTACGCAGTGTGAGGAGCATGCTGGAGGAGGTGATGTCCAACTGGGAGAGATACAGCTCCACTGTGGCCTCCTTACAGGCCTGGCTGGAGGATGCAGAGGAAGCCCTGAGGCAGCCGGAAAACATAAAACGGGTATGAGGTTATTATTTTGGGGAATCCCACCATATACTCAAAGCTTTTTTCTTTTTTTTTTTTTGCACAGATTAAGTATCCCCTCATACTTGTATTTATTTGACGGACTCAGAGCAGGAGCAATCAAATCTACGTCAGACCAATTTCAAGCATTTGGTCTTCTAAGTGGAATCCTATTAGCAGTCTCCACTCAAGTATCAAATGATCTCCTTGACTTACAACAAGCCACTAAGGATATTCCAGTTGTCGCATTGCCATGGTTACCTCAGATTCACATCCCCACCAAGGATTAGACACCTAATTACCCCAGTTTTTTATTGTCCTCTCTTTGTTTCTTTCTTTGAATACATTTCTTTGTTTCTTTTTGGAGTAGCTGCCTTTGTTTCTGACACTCATTCTTTGTGTTGTTCTTTGTTTCTCTTAATTTCCTCGTGTCTGTGTTTCTTTCTGTCTTTTAATGAGTCTGTCTTTCTTCCAGGAGTTTTTCAGAAATCTCAGCCACTGGATGGATCAGCATGCAGCCATGAACGACGCAGGGAATTTTCTCATTGAAACGTGTGATGAGACGGTGTCGCTTGATCTGAAGCAGCAACTGCTTCTTTTGAATGGAAGATGGAGAGACCTCTTCCTCAAAGTCAAACAAGTAACAAACAAAAATACAACTAAAAATACTGTATGTCAGAGAGGAGCATTAGGATCTTTTTATTTTAAATGTGTGGTACCACTTGACCCAGTCCTGAGGAAGGTACATCTCTCTATAAAATCAATTCTAAAGTTTGTATTATCTTTCCTTTTGCTGCAGTATGCCCATACAGATGAGCTGGAGAAGTGGAGAAAAGACCATCTAAAGGCTGTATCGACCCTTACAGAGCTGCTGGACACGGCAGAGGCCAAGCTCAAAGCTCCTGTCCAGGTGTCTTTCCTCAGTGTTAGAGCCTTTCTGCAGGATGTGGAGGTGAGAAAAGCTCCAGATTAGAACAGTCAGACTGCAGCAACCCTGTCAACGGCTCTGTGGGTGTGTCTCAAATCAGTAGGTAGGGAATCACAAACAGGATTTAAGGCACCAGTTAGATCACAGATGAATTTACATTTGGACTGTAATGAGAGAGGGGCCCTGCGAACCATTTCCGAGGTGCATATTAGCACATTTTGACATTTACGATGATTTTCGTATTGGGACACATTAGAAAACAGACAACTCCTCCGGCAGAAACATACTATGGAAAAATAATTCATTATATTGTTTTATTTCCTTTTTAAGTGAGTTTGTGTTCTAAAACTGATTAAAAACTTGGTGTTTTGAAGTCAGAGCTGCAGACAGACAGTTTTTAAGAAGCAATTTAAAAAGAGCTGGTGTGCCTGTATAGCTCACGTGGTAGAGCTGGCCCCATGTACCAAAGCTGAGTCCTTGCTGTGTGGCCCAGGGTTCAAATCTGACCTGTCTGTGGCCTTTTTCTGTGTGTCATCCCCTCTCTCTCCCCTGTTTCCTGTTACTCTTCAGCTGTCACTACCAATTAAAGGCAATAAAAGCCCCCAAAAATATATAAAAAAAACCCAAAAGAATGTCTAAGATGACCCTTTGCCTTCATGTCTCATCTTAGAATACCAAGCAAAAGGTTGTTGCCATGGAGACACAATACAAGTTGGCTGCCCGCAGTGCTCAGTTCCTCGCCAAGGATGCACCACAGGATGAGGCTGCCAGGGTCATGACAACTATTGCAACAGCCAAAAGTCAGCTGAGTAAGGTAGGTATCATTAACGTCTGAAACAGCGTCTTTCTTTCTTTAAGACACTTCCGTGTCACTTTTTAATGGCTTGTATTAACCGTCTCCAGGTGAGAGAGCGGTGTCCCTCCCTTGTGAGGGAATGTCATGTCCTCCTGCCACTGTTGGAGGAGATGGAGAAACACATCACTGCGTTTTACCAAGCCCTGGAGCGGGCCAGTCGCATCACTTCTGCTGCCAGAGACCCAGACACACAGACCCAAACCCAGCAAAAACAAAAGTGGCAGGTTAGATATGATGACAATTAATGGACTCAACTTAAATGGTTACCAGTTACAGCTATGACTTCTTGGGTCAGGAATGTTCTTATTTTAGTTGTTTTGGTTGTCATTCTGCATACAATCAGTTTTAAGGTGCAGTTGACACGCAGTATATCATGGATATTTTTTATTATCCAGTTTGTTGTTTAGATATTAAGCTGGGGATTTTTTATGTATGATCACTCATGTGACTTGTGATAGAAATGTGTGAGCTATCCTACAAATTATGGAAAAATCTACAAAAACTAAGACTTAGTTAATATAAGTGTATATGTAATGTGTGCATTTTATATATATATTTACTCTCTTGTGTGTATATTGTCTCATTCCTAGGTCATTGAAACTGTAGTCATTTTCATCTCCACAACCTATTTTTACTATAACCTTTTTATCTGATGGGAGCAGAATTGCTGAGATATAATAAGAGTGTTTACATTTCTGAACGCATCATTGTCATCACACTTATGTATTTGTTTCCACAATTTCCTCAGGATTTGTTAAATCAGCAGCAAAGCTGTAAACGTTGTCTGTCAGTGATTGAGAGGAATCACCACACCCTGCAGAGGGCGCTGTCCACCAGTAAGGTGCTCCGAAACTTTGACCTTTCCCTGCTGCAAAAAAGAGTGGCTGAAATACAAGGCTCAGCACAGGTTAGTGTTTAACATACATGTAGACGTATGTTTACTAGAATGCCACACAGACACTGCATTACCCACAATACTGGTTATATTAATGAGATTACAAGAACACCCATCAAAACACCCAGGAGGCAACAGTGCAGATTGTGCAGATCGTGTCTCACCATTCATTTGCTTGATGTAAGACAAATAATGTAATTAAACTATATTACCAAGGAGACTAATTGCAATCACCGCTACTTGCTGTCCGTCCTCTCAGGCTTTGCTGAAGGAGGTCGGGGAATGGAGAAGGCAGGAAGAGGCCAACAACTGCCTGAGGAGGAGGTTTGAGGAATCAAGACAAGAGCTGGAGAGAGTGCTGAAAAAAGCTCAAGGCTGCTTGAGAGAGACTGGAGACGCTGAGGAATTACTGAAGAAACACAGTGTAAGATAAACCCTATAATGTTCTGCTGTAAATGGAGGACATACATGAAGGGTACAGCTGATCAATGTCTATTAATGTGTATTGAGCTAATTCTTGTATTGGCCTCAAAGACAAACAGCAAAACAGAACTCAAAATACATTCATTTTACTACTTTTCTCTGCCAAGGCTCTACATTATGTGTAAATAGACAATGGCTTTATTTTTATCCACCTCAATGTCAGCATTTACTGTAAAATACTTGCTGATTTCATTGTTTCTATTTTTTTCTGCACAGGACTTTTTTGGCCAACTGGACCAGCGACTGCTGAGCGTGTTCTTGAAGGCATGTGATGAGCTGACTGACATCCTCCCACAGGAGGAGCAACAGGGGCTGCAAGAAACTGTCCGCAGGCTGCACAAACACTGGAAGGTCAGGGGTCAACATGCTTTAACACTCTCACTAATTACTGTACATCTCTGGAGGCGCATTGCCGATACTTCATTAACTTAACCAAGAAGACCTTTGGCTTTGATAGAGTTCCCTCCAGTCTGTTTCCAATTAACCTGTACTAGTTTGGTTTAACTGCAGTTAAAGTTCAGGAAAGGAACAATATGAGACTGAAACTCATATAATTTTATTGCATATATTATCTACAATGTCTCCCATGCTCTGTCTTCTCTGTGTTTTCCACAGGACATCCAGGGCGAGGTACCCTCTCACCTGCTCCGTTTAAAGGTGGAGGCTGAGCGAAGTCGAGTGGCTGTGATCGTACAAGACTGCAGCACAGAGTTGGAAAGGGAAATGCAAGCCCTGTCTGGCACCTGCACCAGTGAGCGAGTGATCAAAGAGCACAGAGTGAGCCTGGTAGAAACTTGAAACAGATTAAAACAAGAGTGAGAGTAAAAGATACAATCACTTAATGTCATCTTCACCAGTTCAACATTTCCTTTTCTCTTATCTTCAGACTTATTTCAGGGAACGTAAACCTCTGACTTTGTGTGAGAAGAGGATTAGGAACATGGAGGATCTGTGTCATAAGTTGCCTGACAACGACACGGCTTATCAAACGCTAGACTCCACCAGAAGGGTTGTAGATGAGGTTGCAGAGCAAATCAAGAACACCTACCTCAAGCTGGAGCAGCATCCTGATAAATGGAAAGAGTGGAACGAGAGGTAAAGATGAACAAAAACTCAGTCCTCACACTATCTCCAACATCTTAATGGCTGACTTTTTCTTCACTGAAGGGGGTTCAAAGTAATTACTTTTTGTTCTAGGTTCTGTGAGCTTTCTGATTGGCTCTCGTCTCAGAGGAGGCAGGTGAGGCTCTTGAGAGACACAGCAAGAAACTCCAGCCATCAGGAGCAAGTTGATGCTGCTGTTCAGGTGAGTTAACACGTCATATTTGCTGCTGTAATTGCAGAGATTAAGTCATGATTCAATACTGCTCAACCTCAGTAAACCTGCATTCACTTTTTTTGCGCATGCACCATTTTTAAGGCACTGCAGGAAGCAATAGATGCCCGAGAGGAGAACCTGCTGTGGCTCAAGAGCCGTCTTGCTGGGCTGTCTGAGGTTAGCTCTGAACTGGAGGTCCAGAGGCAGAGAACAGCTCTGGCCAAACTCTCAACTGACCTGCGGGCACTGTTTTCTTCACTCTGTCAGGTATTTCAAAATATTCCAAATGCTAAAAATGTGTCTATCTTCTGTGTTTTCTGTTTTCTGTTAATCTGATCCTTTGTCTCCCTCATTCTAAGTGGGGTGAGGAGGGCTCTGCTATGTTCCAGTACGAGGAGCTGGGGGAGGAGGTGCGTGGTGCATTGGAGGAGGTTCTGAGAGCGCGAAGGGAGGCTGAGGAGCAGACCAGCAGGATCCTGGAAGCTGAGGGCCTGGATGAGGCCAAACAACTTTACCTTATCCACCAGGTGTGTATAGTGCAGGAGCAGTGAGTGGAGGGTGGTGAAGTCAACTGTTATGCAGATATTTGTTTTACAGAAGTTTCTTTTAAAAGGTGTAAATCAGATGTCTGATCTAACATTATGGAATTAAATATAATATTCATAGTTATGTTTTCATTAGTGTATAATCTTATGTTATTTTAAAATGAGACGTTTTTATCTACAGACGCCGCAGGTCGCATCCGCTTCAAGTAAACTATGTTGACATGTTCTGTTCCTGTCTGTGTTTGTTATATAGCAACACCTGAAGCGCCTGCATGCTAACAGGAGAGACGCAGAGCTTCTGGTGTCCCACTGTCGCCAGTTGCAGAAAGGGGAGGGGCTCAGTCAATCTTTGCGGGAGCTTGAAGGTGCTTTCAGAGAGGTCGACCGTAAATCAGGGGCAAAGGGACACAACCTGCAGGTAGAATGAGCACATGTCAGTGTGCTAATGTTTGCATGTGTGAGTTTTTACACACGCCCCTGCGGTGATCATTGATTGGTCCATGTTGAAGCTTAACCAGAAATTGATTGTTTTTGGCGTGTTCATTTTATTTGTGTCTGTTGTCTTGGGATTTGCTTATACACTTCGATCACTTCCATCGAATTGATCAGAAAATCAATCAATCAGTCACACTCCATGAAACTGTGTGAGATGCCTGGAGGGCAAGAAGAAACCACCATAAAATATCTTAAATCAGCACTCCCAAAACATCAAGGACGTCCCTCTAAATCACAGGACCATATTACACTAATGCTTAATCATTACATAGAGAGATTGATGGTAGCAGATGCAGACAAAGAAGGTGCATTTTGTTGGTAGATGACACTCACACTCACAGCTGTATGACTGAATGACTGACACTCTGCAGGAAAAGTTGTTGGGATAATCTAGAGTTAAATTCAGTTAAATTAAGGCCAGAGATTATTTTGTATGTAGTATTTTCTGTATGAAACTTTACTCAAGGACACTATTCTGTTGTTTCTTCATCATCTCAAGGCGACGCTGAGCTCCTGGCAGAATTTTGAAGCAGAAAGAGAAACAGTTTGGAGGTTTATCAGTAACACCAACAATGAGCTGCACAAAGAACTTATTTTCAACAGCCTGGACAGCCTGAAAACTGAACTGGAGCATGTCAAGGTATGTTCAGTGTGTGTGTTTGTGTGTGCGTACATGCATATAGTCTACGTTCTGTATTTGCTAATACAATATATTGGCTTTTTTTTCCTGCCTGTAGGAGCTCTTCACAAAGGTTGAGGAGTGTTCTGTGCGAGCAGATCTCCTCCTGGAAAAGGCAGCAGATGTTCAGCTCGGTCCGAAGAATCAAACTCTTCTTCTGCAGCAGGCCCAGTCCACCAGAGAAGCAGTCACACAACTTCAAGACCACCTCAACAAGACGTATGTCCCATCCTCACCCTCCCTTTTAATTATAATGAAGTATACTGTAGCGTCAAGACTTCAAGATGAGAAAAACTCAAGTTAAAAGACAGCTTTCACTGAGAAATGGTTTACTTAAACTCACAATGGTCATTTATTATGGATTCTGAACAGGGCTTTTACTTTAACAGCAAAATTGCAGATCTGTCCTAATAATTATATACAATTTGACAGCCAAAATCGTACTTCTACCTCTTAGACAAAATTCTTGAACAAAAAGTGAAGCGCATCATTCAAGTAAGATTATACTTTACCGACATGTCTGCTGCTTCAGACGTGTCAGTGTGTGCTTGTTTACTTTCATTCCTACAGTACACCTAAATATGCTTTCAGTGTATTTTACAAAATGTGTCTTGTCTAACCTTGTGTCTCCCAGCGTTGTCCAGCTGGAGATGATGTGTATGTGGTGGGAACGCTTCAGCAGTGAATCAGAGGTCTTCTCTCTTTGGATCAATGAGAAAGAGAAGGAGCTGGAGGCCGTCAACTACACCTCCTCCTTAGATCCTCTGGACAAACACATCAGCACAGTGGAGGTATGTCTTGTTTCTTGTTTTTTTTTATGCCATGGTGTTTTTTTAATAATTGCAGGTTAGTCATCCATAACATTGACTCCACACTGTATAGCTATTTTTTTTCCTTCAATAATCCTCTGATATTCACAAATAAATATGCATCATCCACACATTTTTTTGTAGCTCCAAGTGAAACGAGTCAAAATTGCTGTTTGGCGCTGTAATGTACAGTATCTGTGTGTTCTGAGGGTTATTAAGATTACGATGAAATAAGATGACATTTTAATCTAACCCCAAGGGGAAATTGGGTCAGAGCTGTGGTCTAGGATATAGAAAATAAATTGATCATATTGAAGAAAATATAATCTTGGCTTGCCAGACCTCAGCTCTGTCAATCTCATTGAGGTTTGGGAAAGAAAATGTCAAAAAAAATTTGGGATAACAGGACTTGAGAAATCCTGCGGCAGGTATTTGATAAGTTGTGAGTTTGAACGCACTTGCCTCCAGAAGCAGCACAGTCAGTTTTTTTTTTCATCCAGCTTTTGTGCTTGTATTTCTATAGACCTCCATGAACCTGATGAGACACAACCTGTACACTCTTGGCAGATAAAGGGATTTATTAAAGATAAAAACATAACATTGTCTGTCATCAGGCCAATGAAGAGGCTAGAGAGAATTAGCGATGTGTTATCAAGTATTTTTTTCCTAGTATTTTTTATTGCTTATTATATTTTCCACAACTTGTGCCTCTTATATGTTTTCCTGACTATCATTTCTCTGCTACTGCTGCATCCCTGCAGGCTGTGGGGGAAGGTTTAGAGGAGAGAAGGGCAGCTCTGGCCCACATGGAGGCAGACTGTGAGGCCCTGTCAAGGTTTGTGACCCCTGGAGAGGCTGGACACATTCGGGCACGGCTTACGCAGATGAGACGCTACTGGGAAGAGTTGAAGGGGAGAGTAGAGCAGCTGGGAGGACAGCTCAACCAGTGCGCCTCGTACAGGCAGAGATACAACGATAACCTTGAACAGGTACACAGCAACACGTAATGGAATCGTTTGATGCAGAAATTGCAATTAAGACTTTGCAGTGGCAGTGCGTGTTCATTTTTGAATAAACTTTTGTCTTTATTAGGTCAAGAAAACAATGAGTGACCTTCAAGAGAAGCTGGATAGTCTAGTCACAAACTGTACATCATCAAATGAGACCTACAAAAGCCTCCAGGATCATATGGTAAGATGTTATATCACTATAGCTGTATAGTTTGATATTTTGAGGTTGACTTTACTAAATCCCTTTTCAGATTGCAGTTTTGCTTTTCTTTTTTCAGACCTAAACATTAAAATTAACATTCTTTTTCTCATTGTTTCTGGTTAGGTAGTAATCTCCAGTGTGAACCTGTATTCTGTAATTTAGCACAGTCTTAGTTATCAAGTTGACTTTGTTTAAACCACAAGTTTTTCTGATGACGCACACCTTTCGTTTCCTCCAGGAGGTCTGCCAGGCTGTGGAGCAACTGAACCCCAGGCTGCTGGCTTTGTGTTCAGCCATGAAAAGACTTGGAGAGGGAAGCCAGCTGGAGGAAGAGGTGGCTAACCTCAAAAAGCAACAGGGAGAGCTTATGGGAAAAGCCACAGAAAAGCAGTCGACATTAGAGAGTCTTCTAGCGCTGTGGCAAAGGTAAAGTAAACCACAGTAAAAAAGATAATCCTACACCAGTATATTTGTCTGAAAAAGAACACCAGCCGTCTGCTGAATATTTTACCATAATGAATACCCAGGCATGAGCCATTCTTTCCAGCTTTTAAGACAATAACATATAGATAGAGACACTGTAGGCAGAATCACAAAGAAAAGATGCATTGCCAGCTGCTGTGATGCCTTGCTGGGCTGCCAGTATCACTCTGTACCTTGTGTGTGTGTATGTGTGTGTGTGTTCCTCCAACACCTACTGTAAAAGAGGTGTGTTTGAATATTTCAGGTGTTTGTCACATTGAACAAACACAGGAAATATGAAAATGGTATACAGTAAGAAACATTTTTGAGCACAAACTGTGGTTCATTTGCTGTTTTCTCTTTTTCCATTCTTTTTCGACTGTTTTCCTGTTAACTTTGGTATCTTATTCTGATTGTATAAACATCGCTATATCCCCTTTTATTGTACTTGTGCTCTTTGTGCCGAATCCTCTTCTCTGTGCCAATTTCCCTTTTTATTCCCTGAACCGTTCCCTCATCTTAGTGTGATGTAGAGGAGCGAGATCTTGTCTTTGACTCAATCTGTCCGTCCCCCAGTCAGCCATTGCCTTTCTATTCTAATAACATGCTTTTATCATCACTTGCTTTGATCACACAATAGATTTTTACTGGAGCAATTATTTCTTATTCTTTGTATTATTCAAGAGGAAAAAAATAATGATCCACTCAGATAGTAGCTATTTAAAGGGCTAAAGCTTTGGGGCTTGTTTTTTTTTAGTATTTATCCAGCCAGTAACTCAATTATATTTCACCTGCTAAAGTTCAGCTCGGTTTATGTGTGCCCTGTGTGGTTGTGTGTTGCCTCTGTTGTCAACCTCATCTCCTCCCCTGCAGGTGTATGTATGAGGGATTACTTAGAGCACTGGGTGCTCTGGCGAGATATGGCTGCCCCCATTATGACCCTGTCACTGATACTAAGGCTTGGTCAGATAATAAATAGCACACAGACAGTATCACTGTGTCTTTGTGCCATTGTGTGTTCGTGCTTTCACATCATTGGATCAATATGTATTCTTTTCCTTTTAAGAATAGCCCTGTAAATTGTAATTCATTTGAATACATTGTTCTTAGTGTCAGCTTTGTATCCACAGATTTGAAAAGGAGAGTTCGTCCATGAAAAGCTGGCTGGACAGGTGTGAGTCTGTTTGCTGTCCAGACACCGACCTGCTGTCTGCAGACAAAGTAAAGCTTAGAAATGAACTACTAAATGTACAGGTAAACCATTTCACAAACCATCCATTTGCATTTAGATTTTTTTTGTTTCATGTACGTATATTATTTGTCAGTTTTATTTTTACCTTACCTATTATACAATGTTTTTTCTGCTAATGATTTTTTAATATTTATTCACCCATACAGGAAATGCAGAGGGAGACACCGTCTTATGAGGCTCTCCTCCAGGGTCTTGTGAATCTCGGGCTGTGTCTGTACCCCACAGCGACTGAAGCTCGTATCCAAGAGCTCAGTGATGATCTCACACAAACACAGGACAGATGCATTTCTTTGAAGAACAGCATATCACACAGGCAATTTACTTTTTAGACATTATTATACAGATGATTTAAAATTGTTAACCTCTGAAGTAATGGATTCAAGCATTTTTATTAGCTTTTTTACACCTTTCATCATTCTTCATCACACTTAGACTTGAGCTGCTGGAGCCTCAGTTGGAGCAGTTGGAGCAGTTCGATCAGGCACTGCTGACTCTGACCCAAAGGAGTGAAAAATTCCTGTCTGGTTTGAGAAGTTCTTCCCAGGTTGATATTGCTGATCTTGAGGCTGCAATTACTAAGCTGAAGGTGCGAAATCAATAATTTCAGCAATTATGTCCTTTTATAGGCTCTGTTTATTGGAGCAATTACAGCAAGCAAGTTTATATTGATTGCTGTTGGAGCCCATACAAATTTGTCTAATCAAACCATCTTGTTGTAGGAGCACGAGGTGCAACTACAGGCACATACATCACTAAGAGAGACACTCCAGCAAAAGGAGTCCTCCCTGCTTCGCTGTTCCACCCCGGAGGCCCAACAGCAGCTCCAGGGCTGGAGTGAGGACTGCCTACAACCCCTCAGTGAATCCCAGCGTCTCCTGCTCCTCCGTAAAGAGTGCCTGACTGAGTTAAAGACTTTTCTTGAGAAGCATGAAGCGGCGGCGATGGCTGTGCGACACCTTCATGAGGCCGTGGAAGGCAGGGGGAGCTGGGACCGCTCCAAAGCTGAAGAGCTGCATCGTGGGATAGGGGAAGTGTCTAAAGATGTGGCCAGGCTTGAGGCTGAGGCAGTCGGGTTAGATGGGCAGCTAAGCAAAGCGCACCTTCACCTGTGTGGGGCAGAGTGGAGGGGCTCCAAAGATGTGAGCCACCCTCAGGGAAGAACATCTTGCAGGGGACAGGCAGTGGCTCTTACAATGGCTTTGGAGGAGGTTCAAAGGGGTGTAGGATGGAGGCAGAGTGAAGCAGACGCTTTAGGGGCATTATGGAGCTCCTTCAGGGAGAGGAGGGAGGAGGTGATGAAGAATTTGAAAAAACTGGAGGATGAGGCGAGGCAAGAGGGGGCCAGAGAGAGCTCTGTACAGGCCTTTCAAAACAGGTATGTATATGGTAACCACAAAACTTTAAGCCGATATATATTTTAACATATATTTTGATACTTGATATAAGCATACTTGGTGTCAGCTGAACTGTATGAACTCAATAATATATCGTTATCAGTCCTCCACCTTTTTCCCCCTGTGTTAAGGCTCCCAGAAACATATATGTGTTTTTAGGCAAAATAAATATTTGGTTTTGTTCTTAGATGATTAATTTAATAAGAAACAAGCACTCCTGTTAAATGGCAACTCCATCATTTGAATTAAAAGCCAGATTTTACTGAATTAAGATCATTGTTATTGTTATTGACAATATTGCGGAAACACGTTCTCTGGGAATATATTTAATATGTTATATACTTTGTCACTTTCAAATGCACCCTGTGAGCTTTTACTTACAGTACATGAATAAAGCCAAACTATGGATGGAGAAATCCATTTCAATTTTACATCCTGAAAATTTTGATATATTGTGTTGGAATCAGAGTGGTAATCCCCATTGTTTTCTTCTGCATCTATTTCTCCCAGGCTGCGTTTCTTCGTCCAGCTGGAGGATGAGCTCCAGTCCCTGCAGCACTCCCAACGGTGGTTAGAGGAGAAGGGAAGCCAGCTGGCCCAGAGAGACAGTGAGCTGGCTGGGGAGGCTCTCCGGGAGGTAGCACTGGTGAAGACAGCCTGGGAGAACGTCAGGACTCTGAGCACCAATGGGTAAGGAGGGGAGATGACAGCAAGGGATTTTGATTTATTAATCTCATTTAGATTTTTTAAACAGCAGTCACAGAGCCTGTTGTATTTTTATCATTCAATACCCACTGCCAGGTGATATGCCAAGTAACAGCTTTAACCTTTTTCCTCTCTTTTCTCTCACAGTCAGGAACAAAGTGGAGTTGTGGTAGATCTTCTGCGCCAGTTCCACCACCTGAAGTTGATCCTCACCACTGTTGTAGAGAATGCTGAGGCTGTTGCTCACAATCTGCCCGACCACAACCATAATGCTCAGGAGGCCAAAAGGACTTTCACACGAGTCAGTACCTTTTTGTTTTTCTCAGAAAAAGCTATTGATTGTGGAATGTTTCTGCTTATTCTTTTCAAATGAGGCATATGGTAAACAGAATTTATTATTCATACTTCACACACGTGTCGTAATCCACTGAGCTATATTATCAGGACAGAACATCCACTGTCCAAATGATAGTATATAACTTCCCTGATGAAATCATGTGCATTTTTTCATTCATTTACTATACTGTGTAATTCTACTGTTATTGATTTACAAGTATCAGACTGTAATGTGCATGTTTTTTCCTGCATATCAGTCAGTGAACTAAAACAGAAATGCATTTCAACAAACCCCCTCTTCCCTTAAAGGTTTGTACAGTATCTCTCCCTCTAGTGGCGCTCTGTTGTCATTCCTTCTGCACTCTTCTCTCTCCAGCATGAGACGGTCCAATCCGAGCTGAGAGAAAAGCAGGAGGACATGGACCAGCTCATCAGCACAGTCGAGGACCTGCAGAGAGAGCTTGAGAAGGTTCCCAACTCTGATGTGTGCTCCATCCAGAGAGACATGGAGACGTTAAGAGACCAGTGGCTGGAGGTGGGTGGTACTCGATAACGCACGCTGTACCATGCACTTGTTTTATGGTACAGAGGCCCTGAAATCAGTTTGGCTGTTTATTATTTAGACAAATGCATTCACATCCTGAAGCTACGTGGTCAGATGTGCTGACGTTTGGGACATTAATGAATTGTCCTCATCCTGACATGTGGTACTCTATGAATTTTCCAAAAAAGTGTCTATTTTACCTGCGTCTGGAGCTGAAATATGATAACGACGCTGTATGATGGGATTTGTGGTGTTGTTTACTGTCAAAAATCAATTACGTTGTCCACAGTACAGCTCTGCCAAACACTACCTGTTCCTCTTTTAATGATATTTATTTCTGTCTGCTTTTCCCTTTTTTCCATTTTCTCTTCTTGTGGGATTTAGTTGGCTGCTCAGCTGTCACAAATGAGACAGAAATATAAACAAGTCTAGACACGTTATCTGCCTCTCTGTCTCTCTCTCTCACTTCTCATCCCCACATCTGTCAAACCAATTAAGTCTCGTTTTCCTTCCATCTCCCAGTAAAGCATACTGTTCCTTGTTACACGGAGGGAAAACTAAACACAAAGAGGGAGAGAGAGATCCTACCTTTCCTGTTGATTGAGATGTATCCTGTTCTGTACTCAGATAGACAGACTGCTGGTCTTTGTTCCTTCAGGTCTCAGAGAGAATACAAACCAACACAGAGAGACTGGGCTACTGTGTAGCTCTGTGGGATGACCTCAAGTCCATGGAGCAGGACATTAATCAATGGACCGCCAGCTCCATTGCTGATCTCACAGACAGTGTCACCAATCTCAGCGATAAAGAGAGGACTGAAGCCCATCTTGCTACCTTTCAGGTCAGAGCACGGTGGACAGTCTGCATGAGAGTGTACGATGATTGTAGCGTAACAGTCGGTTCAGAGCAAGTGTGATTTACTTGAAAATGTCCGGTGCTTTGATCTACAGGCTGAGGTTGAGAAGAGGGAGCAGAGGTTGGATGTCCTGCAGGAGAGAGTGACAGAGCTGAAAGAGCGAGCCAAACTGCAGGAAACTCCATTACAAATGCAGGTGAATATGACTGGGAAGAGAAATACGGGAGGATTTTTCTGAAATTATTATAGCAAAAAAAATATTTTCTCCATTAGGCCAAGGCTAATGTTACACAAAGGATTTGATATAATACACCCAGATAGTTTTCGGTTCTGTTCAGGTCAAGCACTGTATGTGGAGGCAGGTGTGGGAAATTATAATACTACTAATTATTATTAAAAAATAATAATTATTGTTTGGCTGAATGTTTTGTTTTGTTATGAAACAATGTTCATCTTGTGATGCAAGACAAATCTATTAGAGAAATCTGTCATTAAAGTTATCCTGATATAATATAATGGCCTATTGCTACAAAATCTTTCAATAAAATTGATAATACTTTTTATAACACTGTGATAAATCAGTGCTTATATTAATGTAATTGTATCTCATAACTGTATTGTTTGTTATTATTTTTCAATAGTATTAAAAAGTAATATAAAAAGAATGAATAAGCAGTAATAATATAATATTTTTTGTTTTTTGCAGAAGGCAAGACATTTCATTATTGGAACAACCTTCAATCTTAAATGTTTTTATTTGAAAGCTTGTCGTAATTGTGATTGTTTTGAACTGTTTTTCTATTATAGAAAAGTAGAACTATTATAAAACTTCAAACACTGCAAAAATAAAGACCTACATCGACGTAGTTCAAAGGAGCATCAAACTGCACATGAAAGCACTTGACATGCATGTTGTTTATATGGGATTTTGGTTGTATAATGTTGCTTAATATCTTATATTTTACCAGGTCCTGGAGTCAGACCTGAGGAAGAAAATGGCCCATGCGCAGGAGGTGTACAATCAGGCCAAACACACTCTGACCTACTTCAGTTTCCAGAAGCAGCGACTGGAGGACCTCATGTCCCAGATGGCTGAGCGGCTGAAGGCCGTTGAGGGTTCATTATCTGACCTCACTGATACCACTTCTCCTGAAGATATTGGTACTGTTAAGGTATGACACTGTCAATTCGTTTAGCAAGATTCATACAACACAACAATCTAAGAACTAATATTGTTATACAGTACATGCCTTAATTATTTAAAAGATTGCCCTCAAGAGTATAGCTAAGGAAGGCACGGCAAGTTTATTTGTGTTGCAACTTTCAAGCAATTCAAAACGCTTTAAATAGGGTGAAGAAATGTGTTGGAACACATTTTAAAATGTAAAATTAAAACACAATACATAAGAAATAAAATAGAATAATTATTATGGTGGTCAAAGGACACTACTCTACCCAAGTACTTCCTAAATTAAATTCTGAGCACTAACTTTTGGGTATAGTACTCTTCAAATACCTACCTACCCTACCTACTCCTTCCACCACCCTGTTGCCCTAATTAGCAATATATATGAAGGCTTGTCTTTTTATTTTTCCCTACTTTTTTAAATCACAGGACCTGCAGACTGTTGTGCAGCAGCAGAGGGCAGACATGGACTCGGCTAGAGATGCCCTGAGTGCCCTCTGCAGGTCTCATCCCTCGCAGGAGCTGTCATGCCTCTCCTCTGAGCTCACCTCCATCGCCAAGCGCACGGAGGCCGTCGCACAGCGCTGTGCCAAGACCAGGGGCAACCTGCAGGATGGGTTACAGCTCCACTTCAACGGTAAGAGATAAGAACATGTACTTTAGTTTGGATTTTGTGGCATTATATTTAGTCTGGATAGTCACTGTTTATTACATTCTTTCCTGAAGGGTTTTATTGTTCTTTACCTCCATCAAATACGTCTTGTAATTTATGTAACAGTAACAGCACTCAGGTAAGCACTATGACTTCTCCCTTATAAGCAGGAATACACATTTTAATGGCACTTAAAATCTCATAATCACCCAATCAAATAGTGCACAACTACATGATGCAATGTCATTTGTTCATGTTAGTGGTGCAACAGATTTAGTGTTGATTATCCTACATTTTTCCCCAGAGCACACTCAATCCGCCCACTACAACCCACACTCCACTGACACACACTGTCTGGTACACCGGTGCGCTCTCATTGCTCAGACACACACCTGTGCCTCGGAGAGTAATGCAGCTCTCGTCACATCTGCTCTCGAGGGAGTCATTTTCAGCTTGTTGGCAAGGCAACCCAGTGCTGCACAGCATGGACACGCCCACACTTACCCATCTGCCTCTGCCTCTTTTCGCTCTCCTCCTTCTGGTTCCTTCGCTTCTTAAATCTTCTTTGCCTTTATTTTTACCACTAATCAGTTTTCTTCAACTTGTCACCACATTTTTGATTTGCTTTTAATCGACCTGTTCTTTCTGTTCCTCGAAGCAGAGCTTGTCCAAGACTTCCACTCCTGGCTTGCAGATCTGAAGCTGGAGCTGAAAGAATGTTCTAATCAATCAGGAGATGTTGCCACCCTTGGAAGCAAGTTGCAAAGGCTAAAGGTATTGTTATATGTCATACTTTTATACTTTATTTTTCATTGTGCAGTTGTCTCAGTAACTTTACTTGTTGATACTGGCAAAGCAAGGTATCAACAAGTAAAGCAAGCAATAATTATATCATAGTAAATATTTAAAGTGAATATGTCATATGTTTAAAACTGAAGTTAGTGGCTCTTCATTTCTTAAAATCAGCAGCGACATATCAGTTTTTATTAGCAACATGTTCCTCCTCCTAATCCACAGGTGTCAGTCGAGCAGACATCAGAGGGTGAGAAGCGTCTCTCTCAGGTTTGTGAGGAAGCCGAGAGGCTCCAGCTCCACCTGTCTAAAGCTGGAGCAGCACAGGTCCAAGAGCGTCTCTCCTCCTGTCAGAGAGAGTGGAGGAACTACCTGGACAGCTGCTCTCAGAGCCGACGAGACTTGGAGGAGAGTATTGACCTTCTGAACAAGTAAGTCATCACTCTTATTGTGTCCTGTATGTATGCAACGGAATTTGAATTAAATGGAAATATGCCTCTCCTCTCCTCTCCTCCCCTACTCCCCCGCAGTTTTAATGGCTGTGTGGAGGGTATAAGAGACTGGCTGAAGCAGATGGATCTCAGCCTCAAGAGCGAGCCTGTTTTCGGGGCGGAGAGCCAGCAAGGAGCCTCAGACACCACAGAAGAGCTGGAGAGGATGGAAAACCTCCATAAGGAACTGCTCGCAAGAAGGTACGTATGTGTGGGTGTGTGAGGCCATATGTTATTGAAGCCGTAGCATGGGGCTGTTAAATATTCTGAACAATAACATATCATTGTCTCTTACAAGGGAGTCCATCGAGTGTCTCTGCCAGGAGGCCCAGTCTCTGTCTGAAGCAGGCCGGGGGTCAGGAGGAGAGGTCAGAGTGACAAGCCAACTCCAGATGGAGCACCAGGCCTTGCTGAAGGCAGCCAGGGAGAGACTGCGGGGCTGCCAAGAGAGCCAGGCCTTTGGAGAGACCCTCCAAGGGGTATGGGCCTGGCTGGAGGAGATCCAGGAGAGACTGGGTACAGTAGACAGCACCATGGGGACCAAAGAACAGTTAGAGCAGAGGCTGGAGACTGTGCAGGTGAGAGAGGGTTTTAGCTATTTGACTATACTCATCTGTAACTTCCATGATATACCATATATAATGAAATGTATGTAGTGGTTGTTGTGATCTTTAAAAATGCACACATTTGTTTTGGACAGACTTTTATTTACGTTCTACTGTTCTTGCAGTAAACACAAGAGGGGGCTGTTTGCTTGAAGAAGTATTCATCCAACTCTCTCATGTCTAAATCCAGTTTACTCTGACCCCGCTCTGTTTGCACAGGACATCCTGCTTTTGAAGGGAGAGGGTGAGGTCAAGCTGAATATGGCGATGGGTAAGGGCGAGTTGGCCCTGCGGAGCTATGGCGCCACTGGACAGGAAGTGGTCCGCTCTCAGCTACAGGAAGTGGAGGATGCGTGGGCCACGCTACTTGTGACTGCCATGAGCTGCCACAGGTAGACTGCTCACCTTGTTCCATCACCTGGAATATAATCTGATGTCTTATTCTCCATATGAGCAAGTATAGCCATTTATACACCATAACTGGTAATAAAAGTGGTCCTGCCTTTAAGTTAATATTCTTCATTCATTGTATAGTTTAATTTACAGAAACTGGACAAACTGCAGTTAACTGTAAACAAATTATCATTCAGTCATTCTCATTTTTTGCTTATTTTAATGTATCATTAAAACATTCACCCCTGGACATTTTAGAGGCCATTTACCCATGTGCCAAAAAAATTCCCTCTCTTGGGAGCAGGTTATTTTCATCATGATAGATTGATGTCTCAATGCCATTAATTACCATTAGGTTAAATACATAATGAGAAGTATTTGTCTCATTTTGTAACTCTGATTGATGTTTCTGATTTAGTGCTCTTTTCTGTGTGTGTGCACATATGCAGGCATGACAGCATGCACATGCATCTGTGTGTGTGTGTGTGTGTGTGTGTGTGTGTTTAATTGAGCAATTATGGCCCCTCCTAGAAAAAATTGATCCCATTAGGGACTAAATGGTGGATGGCAAACAGTGGGTCACACATGGGGTGTGTTTGGGTTTTAAGAGGAAAAGGATAACAGGAGGACGAGGGTAGCAGGTGAAATAGAGGTGTGTGTGTGTGTGTGTGTGTGTGTGTGTGTGGATATTGGTGTTATTTGTACATGCAGGGGTAACAGATGGCAAGGAAAATTGGGGGTGTGTATTTTTGTCCATGTGTGTTTGAACCACCCAATAAAAGGGGATAAAGGCACTAAGCCAGGATTACAGGCAGAAGATATTTCTTTACCATTCGATGGGTGTGAAATATAAACTGTACCTGTGTATGTGTATTATTATTAGTATAGTATGTACAGACTTTATGTACCAGAATGATCTGAGTTTAAAGTAACCAGATGAAAAATGTCAGTAGTTCTTGGGTTACTTTTTACTTACATTTACGCTGCACATTTTTATATATCTGCATATGCTTTATGTTGCTTACAAATCAAAGTATTCAAATCAATATGTAATATATTAGACAAAAGTTCAACATCAACTAAATTGTGTTGGTTTTTAAAAAAAAAAACCCTCCCCACATGTTGGATTTCTCCTGGTCAGATGTTTTCTGTTTATTCAGAATGTGTAATTCCCATATGTGCCTGTCACAGACTAACACAGAGATCTACTGTCTTCACTCCAGTCGTTTAGAGTGGACCGTGTCACAGTGGGGTGGATACCTGGAGAGTGCTGCCCAGCTGCGGTGCTGGATGGAGGCTGTAGAGCATGAGGTGTGCGCCCCTCTCACCCCCCAGCCAGGGCCCAGAGAAAAGGCCTCCCAGCTAGAGCGACTTAGAGCCCTGCTGGCTGACCTGGAAGACCACCAGGTGTCGCTGTCCAGCCTGGAAGAAAAAGCTAGAGAGCTGTTCAAGAAGACTGGTGATGCCAGCTTTAACCATGGTGCCCGCACCCAGCTGCAGGCGCAGTTTGATGACCTCACAGTCTTGGTGGAGGTTCGATGTTACTTTATCTTTCAGTATATTTAGTAAAAAACCTTGAAACTCTTGAGTTTACCAAACAGTTTTTGCAGTATTACAAACTAATGATGTCTCTTTTGACTGTTGGTGTCTTTAGGAGAGAGTACGTCTCGCGCAGGCAGTAGTGTTGGAACACCAAGAATACCTGGAGGCTGTGAGGGAACTCACCGATTGGCTTATGACTGCTGGAGAGGAGCTACAGCATTGGTCTGATACATCAGGAGACTCTGCCTCCATCAAAAAGAAACTGTCAGAAGTGAGGGTAAGGCAGGGTGTCAACATACAAAAAAACCTTCTTGTTGATGCCGACTGACACTCCTTTTGTTCTCTTTGTATACACTTTTATCAAGATTTGACAATTTGACAATTCCCCCCCAAAATCCTGATCAGTTCCTGATCCATACATTGACAGATAATAGTGTACCACATCTGACAGGTGACAAGCCTATTGTGCTGAGGAGTGGGCATAGGTGTGGCATTATTTTATTAGTTTGACATTATTGTCAAAGCAAACTATTTTACTTTTATTTGAACTTCATCTATTGAAAATCAAAAGTGCCTCTCTATGGTAATACAGTTTGGACGACAACAGTCTTATTACAATGCTCATTCAGCGGCTTTTCTTAAGTTTTCAATAATCTTTATCTGCCCATGGCGTTTGCCCAGTTGTTATTTAAATTTAAATTTTTTGGTTGGTTGGTTCAAGATTCCTTATTGAATCATGATTCATTCTCCTTTGGGCCATATTTGTTTGTCCCTTATGTATGATTGTTGTAAACTAATTACATGTTTGTTGAAATATTACCTCTGTGCACATCAGTTAGACCACACCATAAGAGTGCTTCTAAATAATAATTCAACCAAGTGCCATTGAAAATGGTACAGTATATCATTTTTATTTTCAGGCACTATAAGTCTGACAGTAAGCTATGTTTCACTGAATTAACCCCACTGTCAGTGTTATTTGTGTTGTGTTTTTGTAAAACTACACCCAGTTTGAAGGTGTTTCTAAGGTAACTGATTACTAAATTATCTGATCTAATCTTAATAGACTCCTGCTATGAAGGATGACAACCTATGTAGGGAATTGGAAATGGTTCTCAGTTTGTTCCCATATTGCAGCCAGATATCTCTCCTGGCACATTTTACTGCCAGTAAGTTGGTCTATTACGGTGTAAAAAAAGGTAAAAGAGAGCAGCAGTGAAATTAATGACAAAGCTTTTCCCTGTTCAATAATTCTGCAATTACAGAGCAGAGAAAATATGTGAGCAGATATTGATTTGCATGTAAATTTCACACACGGGTCCTAATTATCACATTATAAATGTGTATTTGTAGAGCCATAGTGTGAAGCATTTCAGTAGAAGAGGAAATATAATTTGTTGTACACACAAGCCTTTTTCATTTCCCATTCATGATTTCAAGGTTAATGTTCATATCCTTCTACTGGCGCATCCTAAAATGATCAGATGCTGTTTTTTTTGTTCTCTTTTAATCCCCCCATCAGCCCACTGCTATCACATCACATTCAAGTGTTTGCTTTTCACACCCTCTGCCTTCCAAGTGCTACCTTTCCACACAGAATGAGAGATGGAGGCGGAGAGGGCTGGAGGATGAAATTAGTAATATAAAGAGAATATTGAGATAGCAAATGAAAATACAGGACATCAGAACTAATGGTCCAAAGACAGAATCAAAGGGATAAAAAAATAGAAAGTGATGAAGCAATGTAGGCAGCTTTAAATAGAATCGACTGCACATCCGGAGATTGCGGTTTCCGTAGCCACAGTTTCCGTAGCAACTTTCTCTCCTGTCCACCCTCCCTATCTTTTCAGGAGCGTGTGGAGTGTCGGCTACTGGAAGGCCGAGAGCGCCTCAGTCGGGTGCGTCGGAGCGCAGCATCCACGGCGGAGCACACGGCAGCGGGTGGCTGTGAGGCCATGGACCGACAGCTGGGGGCGCTGTCCCAGGCTCTGGAGCAGTGGGAGGGGGCTGCCCTGAGGGCCAGAGATGGCCTGGAGGGGGCCCTGGCTGCCGCTGCAGCCTCAGAGGAGGAATATGACCGCCTAACCGCCCGCCTGGAGGATGAGTTGAAAGAGCTGGATGGACGACTGAGGGGGTGGAGCCAGGAGTTGATCAAAGCTGAAGGGCAGAGCAACGGCGAAGAAGCAGTGGAGGGATGGCAGCTGGCTAAGGTATAGTAGCACAAGATTTAAATAAATGGCAGCATAATGTCTCAATTATTCTTCTCACAATAGTTTATTTGAAAAAAATTGTAAATAATAAAAACTCTTCTATTCAACTGGGATTTGGGTTGGCGAACTGTGATGTGTAAAAAGCGTGCAGCTTTGTACCATGTTAATTTTAGAGAAGAGGTGATTAGCATTGTTTAATGGAAAGTACCCGCAGGCAAACACACACACACAGTGTGCAGACATACATCCACGGCATTCAGCTATGTTTTCTCTGTCAGTAATTATCCATTCTATTTGTAAATCCTAAAAACAGATTAGTTTGTAAATCAGCTTTACTGGGATGACGAAGGAGTGACAGCTACAATCCCATCAGTTTCTCTTGTTTTCTCTTCATTCTGTCTTCCCCTTCTACCCCCCTCCTCCTTTTTTGCCATTATTTTCCACTATCTCTCCCTCCCAAACATTCCCCCTCTCCATCCCTTCCCCTTTCCCCTTTCTGTACCCTGACTTGTTTGACAGTGTGCAGCAGTGATGTCTTTCTCGACTGCAGGGGTTGTTTCATAGATGCTCTCGCTCCTCACCTCCCCTGGTGCTCTGTTTCTAACCTCCACAGGATGTTTACAGTGTGACAATTTCTCTGTATTGTCAAAGCCATGCCGGTACACCCGCACACTCCTCCCCTGGCTTTTTTGGCCATGCCTTTCTCTGGTTTTCCTCAATTTGGGGCTGTCAAAGAACAGAGGAGGAGTCTTCCCCCTCCTCCGCTTCTCTCTCTCTCCTCCTCCAGCCTGTTTCCTGTATCTAGCCTTGTTTTCGTTACGCGCTCGTTTGTGCGCGTTTGAACCAATCCTGCATCTGTGAGGGCTGACAGCTGAATTCCACCGGGAGAGAGCGTGAGAGAGTGAGAGGGAGGACAAACGTGTGAGAGGGATTGAGTGCAAGGAGTGGGAGGAGGGAGAGAGGAGGGAAGAGAAAGTAGTAGAACGATAGGAGGAGGGAAAGAGAAGAGGGAGAAGAGGGAGAAGAGAGCAACGAGTCCAGCAGAACAGGGAGGGAGGGAGGGTTGTTTATTGGGAGTACGTCAGAAAGAGAGCGAGCGGTTGAGAGTCAGAGAGTCAGAGAGAGAGCTTGTACATATTTCATGGGACAGGATTTCATGACTGTGTGAGTCCAGAATGTGAGGCACGCGGAGGAGAGCGGGAGAACGGTATCCACAGCTCCTTCCTGACACACTCTGCGAAGAACAGAAATGCTATTGTACAAGCAGCACTGTGAGTATGTGTTGGAGCGTGTGTGTGTGTGTATGTATGTGAGAAGAGCGAGAAGGACCGAGCCAGGGTGTGAATAGGAATGCGAGTGCACTTATTGAAGGGTGTCATAGAGAGCTGTTAGGTGCTTGTCTTTCCTTGACACACACAGACACACACACACATACGCAATCTGAGCCAACTGGTGTCTGTTTTGTGTTGTTTAGGATATTCTGGAGGGCTTGCAGAGCGCCGAGCCGATGGCAGAGAAGTTGAAAGGCCAACTGAACGACCTGGTGCGATACTCCAGAGACCTGGGCTCACAATCAGATCGGGTCACTGCGCTAATCAAACAGCACAACAGGTGAGAGGAGTCCTTCTGCTTTCGTAAAGAGCGTGTGGTGGAAAACACTCCTGTTTGTGTTTTTAATTATGTGCATTTGAAATGAAGTTGATATTTATTGGCCAAGGCTGGGCGATTTCTTAATATTATCATTTATAGAAATAGAAAATGTCTATCATAATAACATATCTTACCATGTTATTGTTCTATAGGTTTCTGTTCAGTTGTATAATTCAGAAAACTAACACAATTAGTTAGGAAAGTTCTTTTTTACACATAAGAATTTAGTATCATGCAGCACATAACATTGGAACGTAGCTGCTTTGCATAATTGCATAATTTCTTTGAATGTGGCATATATTTGCTGTATACCTGACTTGGAATATATCTTTAATACTATACATAGATAAAGATTTCAAACATATTGCATAGCCCTGTTATAAGCACAATACGGAAGGAGTCCTGTACATAATAAGATTTAAAAATGCACAGATCAGACCATGCATAACACACTCATTCATTCTATAACACAATAGAAGAAGGGCAGAGTTCTCCCCCAAAAACTCAAACAGGATTACAGCTCAGTTTTACATGCTTATTTGTGTTAGAGGTGTGTGTGTGTGTGTGTGGCCATCTCGCACACAGAGTCCTGACATGTGTGTCAGCCAGGCGAAGGTGAAAGATGACAGAGAGCACTAGAGCCACCAGTTGCTACGCGACATTTAACTACCACCGCTTTTTCACTGTTTGTTTTGGTTTGTGTCCCTTTTCCAGTTTAATTTTATGCCAGGCTGAGTGTGAATGGAGGGAAATCAGATACATTAGGATGGTTGATTTTTCCATGCTGATACGTTGCATGCCTTAGTCTATTTACTGAGCCCTAATTGCCTGATTTTGAGCCCACAACTTAGCCTGTGTTCATTCAGCGCTTGTTTGTGAACACACCATGCGGCAATGCCTTCTCAAAAGAACAGCAGTGCATGCAAAAGAACATGCATGCACACAACCCATACATATTCAGCACACGCGTACACAAGTATGGACCAATGCAGCAGCGCAAATCACCTACTGAATTTGCATAAACGTAGCATAGTCATTTTGAGATATTACAGGGTTGTGTGAAAAAGCACTGTGCACATTTATTGGCAGACAACCTGAGTGAGGTCAACTTGTTGGAGATGCTTTGGCGGTTAATTGGCTTTGGCTGCTGATTGGCAAAAACACCACCCTTCCTCATTCACTTGGCTTTTTAGTCTGTAATAGACTTGGCCTGTGCGCTCTTTGCACCTGTCCTGCATTAAGCACTGCGGAAAAAGAGAAGAGCAAGGAGGAATACAGGAGGAAAGCAGTAACTCTCCTCGTTTTCTTCATAGCACATGCCGGATTTTGTCTGTCACAGCAGAAAAAAGTGCTTCTTCCACACTCACGGTATCCCCACTGTGTTACCCTTTCATGCCCTCATCGCATCATTAAAACTCAAGGGTGTTTGTGTGTGTGTGTGTCGGCAGGAGGTTGTGTGTGATTTTTGCCTTGTTTTTTCATGTCTCCCTTTGGACATCATCTCTTGCTTAAACAGCTGCGCACCTTGTTTACCTGCTGTCACCCTTTTTATCACGCCTTCCCTTCCCTCCTTTTAACCTTCACCCACTGCCCAATATCTATGACAACTAATGACTCTCTTCTTCAGTCGTCATACATGTTCCTCATATTAACATCTTGTAGTTGCCATGTGCAGATATTGTAAAGGTGAGAATTGTCTGCAGATACGGCTGCTTTATTGACTATTGACTAGTGACTTACAGTATTGTGATACATGATCTCACTTCTTTCCTGTTTTTATTTGTTCTTTGTCATAAATCTTATCTGTCACTTAAAGAAGGATTTCACCTTTTAAAATCTCAGCTTTATTCCACATGTCTATTGAAATCCTTTTATATACTAAATGTACTTCAATAAGCTTCAAATACCTGTTACCAGTCTGTATTGTTGCTGTACCTCCGGCTATAAATTCTGAAGGATGTACGTGTGAACAACAGAGAAAAGTTCCTGGTGAAAAAACACAACCCACTAAAATGTCAAAGTGTCTCTTTAATAGATCATCACCCTTCGCTGTAACCTCTCCGTCACACACTGTATCCCTGTCATATCCTTTCCTTCTCACCCTTTCTCTTACAGCATCAATCTGTCATCCCTCGTTCCCTCCATCTTGTCACCCCTGTGAACTCTTGCCCCACTCATATGTTGCCTCTCAACCCCCACCTACGCAGTAGCCCTCACCCCCATCCCCCACTCTCCCTCTTTGCCCCAACGCTCATTCCTTCCACTTCACCCACTTTGCCATTTCTCCACCTGCTAGTTCCCACTCCTGCTCATGTCCCAGGCTTCCCTCTCTCCTCCTCCTCCATAGCGTGAGGACAGTATGTACAGTATCTGAGCATCTGCACATGTACCTCTTTGTTTTGATGCACACATGGGCAGTAGACTGCAAGCACTTCCTCCGGTTGTAACCCCTTTCTTTCTTTGTTCATTTCTCGTCCTTAACGTTTTTTTTCTCTTGCCCCCCAGTCTCAGCCTTCGTGCATCCAGGGAGTGTCAAAATAAAGAGCGTTTGTTGGAGCAGAGGTTCCGTGCAGCCCTGAGAGACTTCCAGCAGTGGTTGGTCAACGCCAAAATCAGCACCGCCAAATGCTTTGATGTGCCACAGAGCGTCGCCGAGGCCTCCACTGCACTGCAGAGGATCCAAGTAAGAGATATCTTTTTCTCAGCTCTTATTTACAGTGAACATCTTAAATTCTTACTATGTTCTGAAAACATTGGTGTCATGAAATTGTGACCATGTGCAGGTCCTTACTCTGTTGTTCTCGCACCCGTACATTGCTGATATCACTTGGAAATCAGGTTTTTTTTCAGTCTGTTCAGCTGTTACCGCTCTTACCTAGTTGTGATTCTGTTTATTGCTGCTTGAAATACAAAGTCCACCACCTGCTGTGCACCAGAGAGTTTTCCCAGGGCAGACCTACCAGACACAGAACTGCAAATATACAGATTGAACCACCTTTTGTTATATTATTCAGGGATAGAAAGTAGTAGAATTGATATTTATTTGAATGTCGCTGAATATTGCTTTAATCCAGCCTTTTGAGAAAGACTTACATTTTTAATATCTTGCTTTGGTTGCCGGATAGATAATAATATTCATTCATCCTCTCTTGTCTGAGCACGGCCACACAGAATGGCTGTATAGTCTCACACTGCTGGCCATTAACTAGCTCCAGTGAAGCAGTAATGATTTCAGAGCAAGTAGCTGTTGATAGTAGTTAGGGGAGTATAATTTATTATTTATTCACTTTCATAAACCAGAGCCTGTTGAGAAAAGAAAATCAACAACCTCCTTGTCATGAGAGTCTTTTTGTGTTCTTCCGCCTTTGGGGTGCCACTTAAAAATCCTCATAAGACTGTGTACACTTTAAATCCACAGTTGCTAATTACAGACGAGTGTTAGCTTTTAATTTCTTGGCATTAATTTAGTAGGATAAACAAAGCTTGTTACCACAAAGGAAATAGCTTAAAGTGAAATGATGTAACAGTTGAAGAATCAATCCACTTTCAGTAGGAGAGTGCTCAAGGGGGATGTCTGTATTGACATGCCCACTGTTGACTGTCCTCTGGTGGGCTTGTCAGAGTGGCGGGACCTGCCGTAGGCTGGATAAGCTGAAAGCGGGCACATAGCCAAGAGGGATGAGAGAACGCTCCACAGCAGGGTCTCTGTGCCATTCTCTTCAAAATATCTGTGTCTGTCTCTTTCTGAGAAGTCTCTCTGTCTTTCTCTGAGAAGCTGGCAGGTGTAACAGTCTGGCAGCCTCTTTAGAGCACCCCAGGGTCCTGGCCGAGAGTCGGGTGCTTGTCGGTTAACGTAGACGTCCCCACATCCCTGCACCAAGACAATTAATTACCTCTCAGACACCTGACCATGTCCGCCACTACATTACCACAGAGGAATTACTATTACTGCTTTGAGCTGAGCTTTAATAGTAAGATGATAATCCTACACTAATAAAGCGCGGGACTTGATTTTACTCCACAATTTGAGGTTTTTATTAAGTGTGGGTACAACATGTGAAACATCAACGGTCCCACGAAGAAGCAGATCAGAACGGGTTATCTGAAGAGCTAATTTTCCAAAAGTTTGTCAAAGAAGTGCTGTGCAGGAGTTTTTTTGTGTGTGCTCCTTCAGGAGTTTCTACTGTAGCTGTGAGGATGAGAGGGGAATGTCACAGAGTATATGGCGGTGAGGGAAAGTGGAATACAGAGGCGGTCATGTTTTATTTATTATTGACTTGGTGAGGAATGTGGAACAATGTTTCCACATGGCTGACCTCCAGGAGGGCCAGCGTGGGAGGGGTGGGGGCATCCATTGTGTCACGCTTAATTGGTGGTATACAGTTTCATTGGCAGGGGAAGAATGGCAGTAAGTGTGAAAACGTCAGTGGATGAACAGAGAAGAGAGAGTCAGAATAAAGCGACACATACATGAAGAAAGACACAGACTTTTCTATGCTTGTGAGTGGCTATACTGTACCGTGTGTGTGTGTGTGTGTGTGTGTGTGTGTTCGTGTTTGTGCGCAAGTGATGTGCTGACTGCACAGATGGTGGAGTGGTCCCTGCTGCGCTACTGTCATCGGCTCAGCTCGGAGAGAGGGGGGTTTGTGTGTGTTTGTCTATGTGTGTG